TACATCAAAAAGAAGAACAAAAGAAAAAAAAATCGAAAATAAAAAAAATAGAAGCACAAACACGCCATTATTATTTCATGCCAATGATTTTATCCTGCCGTTTTGGCTCTCGGGTAATTGTTACCCGCGCAGACGACTTGGCAGCGACAATTTAAAAATCGAAGATAATTGCCCCTCTTTTAGCGGCAGTTTGGTCGCAGCACGGCCAAATTCCCGCCCCGTCCGTCGGTCGCGATCTCTTCACACTTCTAAAGGGCGTTTTTAGAGAAAAAAAAATCAAAACGATTCATGGCTATTGTTCTGAAGTGAGCGCCTGTTTAGACATTACCCCGTTTTATGAAAAGGTTATTGTCTATTGCTTTTGCTGTTGTTGCTTTTTTTTGTTGGTTTGAAAGATAAAGTAGCAAACAGAAAGGAAACCACGGACATCCGTGCTCCAAAAGCTATATGTGAGGCAGCGTGGTGGAATCCGGCTCTCGTCAAAATAATCAAAATGAATAAACTTCCATTATTCCGCAGGTTTATGAATTTTTATGAATTTTTTTTTTTTGGCTAAACACCTTTCATGCCCATTAAAGAACTCATTTCTGTGTGGATTTTTCTGAAAAACGTTGATTAAAGACACAAAATTTAAATTTTCAGTTACCACGGACTCTGAAGCTGAGGAAATAACTAACCTTTGGCGGCCATTTTCTCACTAATTTTACCTCTGAAAATAGGTGACCCCCACCTCATTCTTTCGCAAATATCTCGACTTGTATTCGAGATAAATGGATACTTTTTTTCATCCAAATAAAGACAAATGAACAAGCTTTAAGATGATACCAATAACTCTACATGCCCAAAAACTGATGAGAGCCTGATTCCACTACCACGCTGCCTCACATATAGAATATGAAAGGTCTCTAATTAAAACAATTAGGAAGAGACAATTGGGATTGTTTGGCCTCATAAATAGAGCGAATATAATTGAGAAATTGCGACTATGTGGAAAGAATGAGTGAAAGAAAAGCTGAGGAAGACATGAAATAACATAGGCGTAGACAGACTGATGGTCTGAAAAGCTATTTTAAAAACAAACCCCACAAATTAGCAGGAAATCTGAGCTAATCTGAAGAATTGACGTCATGAAAAAATGGCGGTGCAAGCACTATGATGGTCATTGTCTGCCCCAGATCTGGCACCTGTAGAAGAAGAAGAAGAAGAAGAAGAAGAAGAAGAAGAAGAAGAAGAAGAAGAAG